TCTTTCTATTGTGTTTCGAGTAATAACTCTCATTCTTGCTTCATCCGCATCGTTTGGAACATTTCTTACCGGTTCTTTTAAAACACTCCCAACACCAACATCGGGTATCCAGCCTGAAACTGAATCGAAGTCTTAGGATATAAAACAGGATATTCAACATTGTATCAAATTCCCCAGGATGTTTAATGGTTTCTATAGGATTTGAACCAGCTTCCAAAACCATCTCGCAAAATAAAGATGGAAAGAAATTGTTTTCTAACGTTGTATTAGTTTGTGGTGCCGATTTTCATTGAGAGTTCCATCTTTGATTTTGAAATCACATCTGACATAAGCATAGGAAAGAAGTAACCAATTTGGTAAAGAATTTATTTCGTAGGTAATTCTACCACCATCATTCAACTGGGATTTAGAACCAACAGTAATTATAATATAATCCTCTTTATTCTTGTTAAATGAATAACGAATCGGATCGTGTAATTTAAAGATTGGATCTAGTATGTAATTTTTATTTGCAATTTTTAAGGTTTAGAATTTGAATAGGAATTATGGTCTCAATATTATCAGGTTGCTTTATGGTGAATTTTGTAGCAATTGCGATCTTTGTTTAACATGATGAAAATCCTACAAAAGAAATAAAAAGATATGATATGATGGAGTGGGGTCACGGGAGCAGATCTATTTTTCAATGCAGAGATATATACCATTAGATATCTCGCTGGTTTGACGGTGTAGGTGATTGGCCACGTGGTGCTACGTACCGTGTTACGAAGGAGAAAGGCAATTTCGATGTTTTTTGTTAAAGAGTTGAATATTCTCGTTTTCACTTCTATGGAAGGAGTGATTACCGGTATGTAAAGTTGGATATTCGTTAGGTTGAAGGAAGGCAAAGTTCTAAATACATAAGTTAGCCATAATAAAACCTACATAAACTTATGTAGGTTTAGGTTAGGTTTAGGTCATGCAACAGTTCTAAATATATGTTTTTATTATGGCTATTGTTAGGTTTCGGAGAAGGAAGGGTTTGATTCTCCCAAATGTACAGGCCTAGGGTGGAGCAGACACTTTATTTAGAAATTAGGATTAAGGGTCTTGATATTGGGTTTTCTTCTGTTCTTATTCTGATCTGAAATTAGAAAAAAAAAACTCGCGAGAAGTATAGTATCTGTTATGTACTGATTGTTTTTAGTTTACTATGAACAATATTATCATTTAAGTTCTTATTTTTTGAATATGCAACTATCATTTTCTGCTTATAGACATGGGGGAATTTCTCTTGAAGGCTCTTATAGTGGGCATGAACTATCTTGCTTGCTCGATTGCTGGTTGTATTAAACGGGACAACAAAGGGTGCTATGCCTACATTATGATGAATATTTAGTCCTATAGGTCTCGCTGTATTCAATGTCTCAATCCAATGGGCCTCCCTAGATTGACGGAATTTGGTAGTTTCATCTTCGGGCAAGTCAATTTATACGCTCAATTGGGATTAGGGTGAAATCGTCTATTGAATGGTCGTCGAGGTTGAAATGATTAGAAACAGGCTTGTATTTCTTTAATTTGATGTCTGACCTATGAGCATTAAAGCGCGTTCGTAAATTATTCTTAGTTTCTCCTACATATTGTTTGGGGCATTTCTTGCATGAAATTAAATATATTACATTCGAATGTTCACATGTTAGATGTTCCTGGATCGGGTACCTTTTATTCGTAGAGTTGCTTACAAAATAATGAGTTTCTGATATAAAGGGACATGTTTTGCATCTACTAGACAAACATGGAGCACTTCTTAAACCTGGTGGTACTTCGGCATAAAGTTTTAAGCTGCTATCTGTGCTAAGGTGGAATTTTTTATGTTTCGTAAAAATCGTTTAGAGTACCCACGCTCTTTCAGTTTTGAGAAAACAATCGTACAGGCTTGGTTGAAATCAGAAGATCTTGTACAAATTCGATGAAATCGTAAAACTTGTGACTTAATTATACCAGAAAAGGTATGTTTTGGGTGAAAGGAGCTCTTGTGCAAGAGTTGATGAGTATCAGTTTCTTTGAAATACACTTTAATATCCAGTTTATTTGTTTCTGCTATGGAATCTCCCTTAAAGACTGTGGTATCGAGAAAGTCTATGCTTTTGTCACTCACGTTTGCGGTTAGTTTGATAGAAGGATGGTCGTTGTTGAGAATTTCAAAGAATTCCCAAAACTGTTCGATAGAATAAGTCCAAACCATAAAAATGTCATCCAAAAAGCGTCTATAAAAAAGTGGGTCAAATGGACAGAGGGGCAACACCTCACGTTCCCACTCTGCCATGAAAAGGTTTGCGTAGGAAGGGGCGAATCGTTTGCCCATTGCTGTCCCTGAAGTTTGTAAATATGTTTTACCATTAAATGTGAAATCGTTTCGACTAAGACAAATCTCTAAAAGCTGTAGAATTGCATCGTCGGGTCTGTTTGGATACGGTTTTCTATTAAAAGCTTTACGAACTGCCGTTAAACCAGTAGTGTTATCGATATTGGTATACATAGAAGAAACGTCGATAGAAATTAAAATAGCATTAGAGGGAACTCGATTTTTTTTTTTATTTTATTGACAAAATCGGTTGTGTCTTTAAGGTAGGCGCGATGTTGGCATGCTAGAGGTAGTAAGAAATGATCAATGTATTCTGACACTGCATATGACTCACTACCACAGTCAGATATAATCGGGCGGACTTTAGGGATTTTATTC